CCACGAGCCCGTTGGCCTGTCGGCTTTTGATCGGGAATATACAATGGTATTTATACAATGCCTATATCGTGCGCCGTTGTGCGGCTCCTGGTTGGACTCGAGAAAGACCCCGTAAGGCAAATCGGAACGAGTGAGTTCCGTAAGAACGATTGGTGAGCGCTCCTTACCATTGTATAGTCCCGATCGAAATCGAAAGGGAAACGGGATCGTGGTCCACTGGTTGGAGACGTGGACTTCTAACAATCAGGTCGCGAGTTCGATCCTCGAATGTTCCACACTTCGGCGTTGGGTATGACTGGCTGACGACGACTAATAAGCCAGAAATTGCCATTCCAGTTTCCCTTGTCTTTGTCGGTAATGCCATTCTGCATAGTTACCTTCCCTAGACTGTGCTGGATCACATCTGTTTCGACGGTTGAACTGTTGGATGGAAAACGATCTAAAGGAGTAATTAGTCGAAGACCTAGGGGGTTGGAAATTCGGGTGGAGAACATTTCGACACAGAGTATATTGTGGCGCTGCGACCGTCTCCATACAAGTATTAAAGGCAGTCGTCTTGTTGATCGGCATTGGCTTTAGCAGCTCTGCAACACGGAAATGTGCATGCATCCGTCATATAGCACACTGATATTTCCCGAAAAAAACATCTCAGTGCATTTCGGTGTCGACATATAAAACCCCTTTTCTATGTTCGAAAACTTTCTGACAGAAAAATGACATTGGTCCAAATTCGGCTGGCTTTAAATAGCTACTGGATAGCAGCTTAATCTGCCATCACATTAAAGTTCTTCGTGTTAAGAAGGCAACCTCCTTCCTGTTAAATTTTTTCTCGATCTTTCCGTATCTGTCCCCGAGTGAAGTTATCCATTGCGTTTGTATGGAATTCAGGACCTGTTTAAGAAATATGTTTCTGGTTATTAAGAACTGTCCTAAATGTAACATTCCCGGGCGGTTGTAAAAACTACGTAAGATGTGCTTGTGCAGACGCACCTGAAGGGCACAATACTATTGACCTACTTAAGTATTTTGAGTTGGTGTGGTCACATTGGCATGATTTTGCTGTGCGTTGCGGCGTGTATTCTGTTGGCGGCTTCGTTTCTTTGTTGACGTGCCTAACTGTTCGGCCCAATGCCGGCGGTCCTTCTTAAATTTCGGCCTGTCTTCACCTTCTAACTTTCATGTTGGATGCCTCAGGGTTAGGGTTTAGGGCTGCAGTTAAGGGTTAGGGTTAGAACAACTGTTTCTCAATCACTCAAAGTACAACCGCGCATCCCCAATACATTTTCTTTCGCATACAATTACCTGAACTCCTCGCCTGTGCTTTTCCCGGTCCCACCTGCGAAACCCTTATTACCACCGGTCCCTTATTACATGCGGTTGGAGTTTGTTTAGCTCAAGTGTGGCCATATAACCACATCTGACCGTACGTTACGTAGACCTTTCAAAGTCTGGACATAATTTTAAGAGCATGCGAGACAGGAATTAATGAAATCTTTGTACTCCATATCTTTGGTCATGTTGGGAACAGTCGAAGCTGAGATGTACGAGTAGAAGATACTGTGACCTACCCTGAACCGCCTTGATACTGAAGAGAGACCAAATAGTACCTCTTATTATATAGCATGACTTAAGTAACGAATTACTTATCGGGCAATATTTGACTTTAATAATTTGTTTCACGTATCATTACCACAACAATCTAATTAAACAACGCTGCTCACGGCTGAATTAAAGTACATGAAATTTGGGGATAAAATTAACTACTATTTCGTCGGTATCGGTGCCTACAGAAATAAAACCTGTTCAAGAAAACGAGTCAGTAAATAATAAAAGCCTACTTATACTGCCTGTTTCTATGCGCAAAGAGAATTTGTTAGTGATTCCGCAATGGCCGTGGCTCACGATTAATTAATCAGGCACTGCATACTATGCAACGGAAAGTAGTTTTTCTCAGTCTCTTGCCCGCCAAGACAGCTCTCGCAAACATGCACGCGGCTGGCCGCATTGCCTGGTGTTCACACTGAACAAACTCGTCATCCGGCCCCTCTCCTCCCCTTCCCCTCAAAATTTAGTTCACAATACAAGTGATGCTACGACTTACTGAACAAGCAAACATCTACCAAAGGTATCCGTCTAATCTGCCTTGCTAAAAATTAATTGATATAAAAGTTTTCGAAATTCGAACGCATTCATATTATTAACCCAGCGACACCTGCACCACAGTTGAGTACCAGGAACACCGCATACCTTTGTCGCGCTAATGTTGTGAGGCAGAAATGTGTTCAGAATTAATGCCAGCTAGTTTAGTATATTTGAGGGCAATCGGTATTCATTTCGGAGATCATAAAAAGTGAACCCGATGCGCAGCAGGGTCCAAGAAAGAGGATGATCAACATGGAAGATTAACAAATCCGCGACTCAAAATGACCGGATCAGTTTATTCATATAAAAATTCCTCCGCAAGTTCAAGCTTAAGTCCTGGCTTACTTGCCAGCTTAGGTAATCGACATTATATGGACAAACGCGTTGTAAGGTATGCAACTATTATTATGTTGTCGTCAACTGCTGTTTCGGAAGCGTAGAGCCTTGTTAAATTAGTCGTTGATATAATTCGTTCAAAAGAGATAATTTACGCAAGAAAACCTATTTGGTCATCACAAAATTCCTAAAAGTGAACGCTAAATGTGAGTTTGGTTTAAAAAATCCCTTCGAACGGGCAGAAAGAGTTTGAACTTCGTCAGCATTACGCACGTGTAAGCATGTACATTTGAAGATAATAGGTTCTTTAAAAAAGTAAAAACTTATTAGTGCATTTTCGACATCGGTTCTATGGTCGTCATCAGACTTGAGTAATTGTACAAAATCAGTTAAAATGTTAAACGTCCCAAAAAAATCAATGCCCCCGGCAATTCTTCCAATAGACGTACGCCGCACATGTCATTGTGTAACAGTCGGTTCTTGTCTCTTGCACTTTTCCCTGAGACTTTTGTGCATGGCGTCTACCTCAATTTTCCGATTAATGCATGAGTTACCTGAGCGCGTTGCTTCAGAAAATTTTCCCCCGTTTTCACAGGGCAGAGGCTGACGATGCGAGTCTTGTCACATGCAAAAGCATATCCGGTATCTAGTGTGTGCATGGCCATTTGAGATAGGTGGTCTCACCTCTTAACAACTAAGTGGTTTTCGTGATTTCATATGGAGGCGGATCTTTCACTATCGCCACAAGATACGGCATCGTACACCTCAGGTGAGATTATGTAGACGACTTTCTTTTTCTGCAGATAAACAACCCTAACTTTAGGGTGTACAAGCTGATCGCGTGAGTCAGTCGCCGATCCATGCGCTGTTTGTGCTTGATGTTTTCTTAGGTGTCTTTCAACGAGTTCAGACACAGTTCTGATGTAAGGGAGAATTCTCCATGTATGTGTTTTGGACGCCTGCTTGGGACTATCTAATGCCCTCTCTCTTGACTTGGTTTTTTGTTATTTTTGTCCGTCCATCAGGTGACAATATTGAATAATGGCTCCCATCTTTAATGCCAGCATACTACTATCTCAGATTGCGTGAAGATTCGAGGTCCAGTTATATTATCGCGATTTCATGTTCCCAGTTGTATTCAGGCTGCCGATTCCGAAGCGCTCTCGTTTTCATCATTGGAGTCGTCTGCTGGCCTATCCTGCTGGCCTTGATTTGTTTAGCCCTGCCGTCTGCCTTGTATTATAACCGTGTTCGGCGCACGTAGGTTGGCCGGCCTGTTAGTTGGTTCTGGACTCTCCCATTTCAACCATTGATGGACTTGCGTTACTTAGATTCCCTTTACGGATGTTATGGTTGCTTGTCGGCCTTCCCCGTCAGACAACGCACTGGTCAATCCTTGTTGCTCAGGCGTGCTGCTTTTGGTCTCATGGGTACGTCGGTGTGACAGTGTAACACGCCAGGCAGGTGACTTTCGGTCGGCGCCTCCTGTTTCCATGCAAACTTTGGCTATCGGCCCCGCATGACTTTTTGCCCTTCTTATCGACCCTGTCTGAGTATACTCGGGCATATTTCGGGGTGTTTAATAGGCAGGATGTAGGCCTATAACTTGGTTAAATGGGCTAGTCGAGGAGCAACTTTCCAGGGTCAGGGTCGGACGATCACCGTCGGTTTCTCAAAGACGAAACTATTGTCCTGTTGTGGCATGTGACCATGGCCCAGTAGCCTATCTTTGCGGTTAATTACAAGCTCGTGTTTGTGCAATCTTGTAGAGGTGTAGGAGTGTCCAGTGGTCTGTCCATGTGATGGTCGTGGAAGGCCGCTTACTGGCTTGCAGGTGTTGACTACGCCTGACGCCCATTAACTGCATCCAACTCTCACATGTGACTTCTCGAATCTAGGCTCTGCCTAGCGGCTACACCACGATAGCCGCCTCGAATTGTGGGCTAAACCAGGCGAGGGTATCCTACGCGCAATAACTCTGCTCCAGCCCATTTCTATTCTTTTCTTCTCCTCCTCCCCCCCCCCTTCACTTGTCCCTTCTCTTTTCCCCTTCCATATCCCCGTCCAAACCCATTCTCCCCCCCCTCGTTACTCGCCACCCTGTCACTCCTGACTTTATTCTTTTCCCCCACGGTCGGGAGGTCTAACGGCGAGAGCAACATGTAATCACGTAGGCGGCCCAGGCCAATGGCTCCTTCTCTCACTAAACCTATAGACCCAGAGTGGAGAGCGGCAGTGATCCAGTGCGACCAAGCAGCCCTATATAGGGAGAGCACTGTTTACGCCCGCGAGGAGAAGGGGGTTATAAAAGGTGCCCTACAAATGCTGGGTTCACGTCTGCGTGCAGACCGTGGCTCGCAGACTGCAATACCTGCAATCGAAACCAACCAATAGGAAACAAGGCTCTCTTTCCCTCCTCCCCCCGCCCCACCCCACAGGTCGCTAGTGTGGGTACGCCTACTCCGGCAGCCTGGAATGTTTGTTCTCTTTTAGACAATCCGAGGAGCGACCGACAGGAACGGATGACGGCGGTAGTGGCTTTGGAACTGGTGTGCTACAAGGTTGACATCGCCGCACTCAGTGAGACCCGGTCCTCCGAAAAAGGCCATTGGAAGAGGTTGGTGCTGACTACACCTTCTTCTTGAACGGTCGCCACAAGGCAGAACAACGTAACTCGGGCATCGCCTTTGCCATCCGGGACGACATCGCGGGACGACTGGCCTGTCTGACGCAAGGCATCAGCGATCGCCTAATGAGCCTGCTTCTTCGGAGATGCAAATTCTTCACTATCGTCAGCGCTTATGCCCTAACAATGACCGACTCAGACGAGGCGAAGCCCAAGTTCTACGAGGACCTGTACGCCCTTCTGGCGTCTGTACCGAAGGCGGATCATCTGATTGTCCTTGGTGACTTCAGTGCACGCCTCGAGACGATGTGCTGCCTGAAAGGGAGTGCTGGGTCCTCACATAACCGCCGGTTGCAACGGCAATGACCCCTCCTGCTGCGGACCTGCGCCGAACACGGACTCATTCTGACCAACACCTTCAGCCTACCGACTCGGATGGCTTGCAATGCCAAGGAGATCTAGGGATATGCCGACTGCAACTAATCCTAAAACTTCTTTATTGCGACCAGGACGACCTACGACCTCCAACGAAATAAATCGCGCCAACTCCAATGGATCAACGCTTTTGCGGAAAAGTCGAAGATTCTGAAGCGTTGGGCTGAGCACTTCAGAAGCGTCCCCAGCTGTCCCCTCACAATCTCCGACGCCACCACTGGCCGGTTCTCTCAAGAGGAAATCTACACCTACCTGGATCTCCCACCCTCTCTCCTAGAAATCATTCACGTCGTGTAAAAAATCTCCATCAGTAAAGTACCAGACACCGATGCCATCCCAGGTGAAATCTACAAACACGACGGCCACCGACTGATGCACCAAATCACGGCCCTATTTCAAGAGATGTGTCGCTGCGGACAACTTCCTCAGGATTTCACGGACGTTACCATCGTCCGTCCGCGCAGGGGCAAAAGGAACCGGCAGCTCGGTAACAATCACAGAGGCATCTCGCTACTCAACATCGCCGGAAAGATCTTCGTCCGCATCCTCCTCAATAGTCACAATGGTCACCTGGAACACGGACTTCTGCGGAAAGTCAGTGTGGATTCAGCAATACCGCGCAACCACTGACATGTTATTTGCAGCGCGCCAGCTACAAGAGAATTGCCAGCAGACGTGAACTCCCCTCTACACCACCTTCGTAGATCTGACAGAAGCCTTCGACATGCTGAATAGCAGAGGACTGTGGAGAATCATGGAGAGGTTCGGATGTCCCGAGCGATTCGCGAACATGGTACGTCAGTTCTATAGTGGGACGTTGGCGTACGTCACGGACTAAGGCGCAATCTTCGAGGCGTTCGCAGTGTCCGCTGGAGTGAGGCAGGGCTGCATCCTCGCGCCTACCCTCTTCGGTCTCACTTGCTCTGCCATGCTGATGCACGCCTACCGTGATGAGCGTCCCAGGATACGCATCGCCTACAGAACTGATGGGCACCTTCTCAACAGCCGACGCATGCAGGCCCCCACGCGACCATCTACGACTACGGTCCACGACCTGCTCCTTGCCGACCACTGCGTACTCAACAGCATGGACCTCCTTGCCTCCTGTTACGACCACTTCGGGTTGGACATCAGAACGACATTAACATTCATAGATCACTGAACACAGTTCTTCTCACATCCGCATTAACGGCACCGAAATGAAACCCGGGGGTTACTTCAGCTACCTAGGCAGCACAATGTCACCCTGCATCAGAATCAACGACGAGGTGGCCCACTGAATCACCAAAGCCGGTCAAGCCCTCGGTCTGCTGTAGAACTCCGTCTGTATTCGACACGGCCTTCAACTGAACGCCAAATTGAAGATACCCAAGGCTGACGTGCTGACGATATTTCTGTACGGGGCGGAGACTTTTACCGTCTACTTCAGTTATGCCAGAAAGCTTAACCAATTCCATCTCAGCTGCCTTTGCAGAATACAAAAATGAGATGGCAAGGCAAGATCCCCGACACGAAAGTTCTAGAACGGGCCGGGATCCTTAGCATTCACGCCATGTTGACACAACTGTGGCTACGTTGGAACGACGATGGAAGACAAACGTCTTGAGAAAGAAGATATTATCGCTGGAACAAGAGCTTAATTAGCCTGGCGTTTCCGATTCCTGCTCGAACACATCATCAGAGACAAAAGCATATACGGGTGGTTCATGCATAATGGGATGCACTATTTATAGGTGCTGTCGCCCTGCTACCGCATACCTATGAATGTTCACGGCTCCTCCCTTCATCCGGCATCGTTGCACTTACTTTGGTGACTGTTTGATGGCCGACATTCGCGCCGTTAATTGCTGCAATTTCATCACGTGTGTTGGAGGTTGGTGCGATGATTACTTGACCATCTGACGCACGGACCCTGGCGTTGGGAGCAGTGTTCGGCTGTACGCTCCCTGTGTGGCTAATTACTCCGCCTAGGCGGAGTCTCAGCACTCAGCGTGGAAGGTAAAGGTCGTTGCACTTCTTAGTGGACTGGGAGCCAGTAAACCATGACTGAAACAGCTCCTGGCTCACGCGATCGTCACCTCTTGCGAGAGTTTCGGCCTCGTCGAATTTGCATGTGTGGCCGACACTCGTCGAATGAGCCGAAACATGAGAGCTGGCGTCATTTCTCGATACTGCTGCAGAGTATTCGGCCATTCGCGTTCGGAGCTGTCTTACGGTTTCTCCGACGTAGTCGTTTTGTTCGCAACTGCACCAGTTCCGATAAACGACTCCAGACGTTTTTTGCCGTAGCAGGGCTCTTTCGGTTTCATTACCAGACGCCTGATTGTTGCCTCCAGCCTGTGTGCAACTCCAACCCCATGTGGTGCGAAAAGGCGACTGACAGCTTCCGATACGTTCTCGACATACGGAAGCGTTCGCCAAAATTTGGGGTCTGTGCGGTTTGGCCTTTCTTCCCTTTTTCGTATGCACCGGTTGAGAAAGTTACGCGGGTATCCATTGGCTTTGAAGACCCATCGGAGGTATTGTAGTTCGTCAATCTTGTCTTCCGGCTCACTGCAGTGCGCTTCGACACCCCGACAGAGCGTCCTTACACAACTGCGTTTGTGGCTGATTGGGTGGTTGCTGTTGAAGTTCAGTACTTGCATCGTATTTGTCGCTTTCCTGAACACTTTGGTCTTTAGGCCACCACAATCTTTGTAGCATACGAGGACATCCAGGAAGGCCAGCTGGTTGTTCTCTTCCTCCTCGATCGTAAATTGCATGTCCGGGAAGACCGCATTCAGACGTTCGTTGATCCCGGTCAATAACGACGAAGGTATCATCCACATACCGGGCCCAGACGTCTACCGTGATGATGTCCTTGATGAGGAAAAAAGTCGCCGATATATTCACTTTGATAGCACAAAGATCGGATTGCCACGTAAAGAGAAAACGGTGTATAAGGACACTCCTGACCTTAGGCCAGACGTAGAAACGTGCCCCGCAGTATCAATGAATTTCGTAGCCGGTACTTCTCGTGAGGGCACTTGCTTTCCTCAACTTGCCTATCGTCTTGCTTATGTTGTTCGCACTTAAATATGTATATATCAAGTAAGAATGTGACCCTCCTTGTTGTTGTTAAGATCTCACTCGATCGCACTCTATCAGCTCGCCAGATTGCTACTGGGGTCAACGAACGTTGTCGATAAGGACCGTGAATCAGCTGTCTGCGTCTGACCTGTTGCGCTTTTAATGAGTTTCTTACGTAATATATATTTATGTATATATACTGATTGCAGGGAAAGCATCCTAAAAAGTATAATTTATAGTGAAGAAGTCCTTTGGAAAGGTAACACACTTCATTTCGTAAATTTTCGCCGCTGGCTCCCCAAGTTGTCGTCAGACATCTGCGTCCGCCCTACCAAAAGAGGTTGGGAGTTTCTCGAAGCCATGCGCTCAACTGAGTCGTGCATCAGTCGACATATTGATTTGGATATCTTATACAGAAATCTCGAGGAAAAATCGAAGATTTGATAGCCAATCGATAAATAATGACGCACATGACGACCATCTGGTGGCACAAACACCAAACAAATATCGATTTTAGGCAGTTTTAACGGGCTAACTGCTTTAGCACTTTTACTCAATATTAACGATGAACTGGGGGACCAACATCGAACTTTTACAAAATAAAGTTTGTTATCTTTCTCACAAAATGTATTTCCTTCGAAATATATATATATATATGATGTGCCCCGCAAAGGTACACGCACTGAAATATATGAAAAATTGCTCATTAGACTGCATTTCATTTTAAAGGTGCAGCTAGATCCATATAGATTGTTTACCCACACTAACACTGCTTGTTTTCTAAGCTCTGTCCGTTCTGGTCCAGGTATCGTCGATATGACAAAACGATGGAACCGCAAGCACCAAGAAACGCTTCGCTTGATATTTATGTACATAGTGACAACTTTCAGATTAGTGACTATTGCGATTTCTTAGCACAGGCCTTATTTTTCCAGTATCCCATAAAAGTCTGGATATATGAGATCTGGTGAATGCAGGGCCATCCTTTGTAACAGCTTTGTTTAATCCACCTGTTTGGCAGGATTTCAGCAATTTAAGATATGGCATCACGATGGTCGGGCAGGGGTGCTCTATGTTACTAAAGACAAGAATTCTCATCTTACAGGACCTCCCCTAATTGCATCCCTAAACCCAACGGGTGAGTGTGTCCCGTAACACGATCGGTTCCATTGCATATTATCCTGTTTGGCCGCAATAGACGGCGTCATAGCCGGTAAATAGGATTTTATGGACAACTTCTACTCCTATAAACTAGTTAGGTTTGTTTCAGATTAACACAGATACGCTTTACCAGTATGTAAGATCTCGCCCGGTGGCTGATTTCGACTTCAAAATGGTGTTCTTTACTTAAAATCCCTCCTTTAATTGGGTTGTTGATGTTTCATTCATCGAATCACAAAGTCGAATGGTTATCGACTTCGGAAGCCTGAGGTGGAAGGCACATTATTTCCGCTCAACAACTTTCTTCGTCACAGCGTGATAAGCTCATTCGCTTTGAAATGTTGACAGATGTCTGTACGCAGAGACAGGATGATGACTCACACATTGTAATACTGCCCCTGAATACATATGTAAGCAGGTAAAAGAAGTAAGCAGTAATCCACCTGCCATCCGGTGCAGAAAAACACCTTGGAAAGAAAGTTTTCCATCAAACACTATTTTGAGAGTGTCTTCAGTTCCCGAAAACATTGAGGAAGGATACTTTTAGAACATTTCTAGTTGAGTCTTTCGACGACAGCAAATGTACCGATCGCACAATGCTGTCATAATTTGGGGTTAAATTAGGGAGGAAACTTAGCATCTAATTTCTACAGTATGGCTTTCTCCAGATAAAAAAAATACGGGTGAACAAATACGGACGTTTTTAGTTGCTGCCAGCATTGCTTATCAAAGGGACCAGAGCAAAACCTCCATCGACAAACTCATAGTGTAGACCCGAATGTTTTACTCGGATTAGATTTTCGTTAAGTCTGACGGAATCGGGGCAAACATCCAGATCAAGCAAGATGACACCGTTATCTCGCTAATTGCGAGTCTGACTCCTTCTGGCTCAAATGAAAGCCTTTACAGTCTTTGATGAGCCGTTTTTAAAAGCGACACCAACTTCCTCACACATACAGACTTTACCAGCAGGCAAAACCATGAGGCGTTTATTTTTCCTGAGTTATTTTCCGGCCATCTTTCCAGAATCAGTCAGTGCTTTAAAAGTATTTAAGCTTTTTAGGAGA